TGCACGCGTTTCTCAATTCCAAGTAGGCCTACGCAAATTTCGGACTTGCACCCTCGGTAGTTCGGACTTCGCGAGTTCGACTCGGGAGTGTGAACCGAGCCGAGCCGAGCTGTGCCAAGCCAAATCGGTACGATTCGGTATGGTTCACTTTTGGGGGGTTTTCCACTGGGTACAGTACCTGGTACCTGTCACTACCTGCTTCACAACCGAGCCGAGCCGAGTCGTACCACGCAGTGGAAAAGCGCCATTAGATCCTGGTTCCTGCGGTGGAAACACATCGAGTTCCAGCCCAAAGTCCCTAGTTCATAGGGAAAGTTCCTGCGGTGGAAAACGGGCTTTACACTCAAACTCACAGTTCACCTGTCTGTGGATTGTGGGGGAAACCGAAACACCCAGAGGAAACTCATATTTATTTATTTATTTATTTATTTTTAATGTTTAATTCTTTACTGCGTACCTACAGTACCTCTTAACAGACACACACACACACACACACACACACACAAACTTTAAGGTTATTTAAGGGATAATGATCAATAAGTTTCCTGTAACTCCCTCTAAATCACCATAATGAACTTCATTGCTTTAATTAATCACAGTGCTGCAGTTAGTGACCGCTGCCCGTAAAGCCACATCAGCATTACAGATTCTTCCAAACCCCATGACCTATTTTGTAATCCCACAAGTGCTAAAATCAGATGCAAAAAAAAAATTGTGTGCAGAAATGCACTAGTAATATGAGCTTCGGAAATACTATCTGATTTTTGATGCCCTGAAGTCAGACATTACAGTAATTATCAGACTGTGCTTTTCAAGAAAATATAAGAATCCTGTTTTGAACTGTTACCAATTTGTAGGACATGGTATTTTAGGGTCTTTTTCATTCTAGAGAGTATTTTAATATACTGCTTAACAATTGTCAACTTGTCAGCATACGTATATGGATGGCCTGAAAGCTAAGAGACATAAACTTAAAGCCAAAGCAAATTTGATCTTATTTGATTTTGAGACCGCCAAATGTTGGGCTTGTCATGTAGTACTGTATACAATATTGTATAGCACCAAAATACATATGGGGGGTTGTATATTACAGTAGAGTATTTGCTTAGAAAGTAATAAGCAACTAGTTTATAGTAAGAATTAGTCCCCAAATTAAAGTGTTACCCATGACTCTATATTGTCAACCCAGCCCTAGCATCCACACTGCACTAGTTTTAATTCCTTTACTGTTCCCTATCAAAATTCTCTGAAGAGAATTGGGGTTTTGAAGGCTCTGTCAGCCTTGCCATCCTGCTTAGACTTTGTCCCTGGGCTGGTCAAAGCTATTTTGCATCCTCACCCTAATTATGTTCCTAAATTTCCATTCTCTTCCCTCTCAATGGTGGATGGAAGAAAACTTCCATCCACTTCCACGTTCTTGAAAGTCTTCAAGAACGACCGGATATACATCCGGTCGTTCTTGAAGATTTCTTCCCTCCATCATTCACAACACCAGAGCAAGAAAGACTTAATTTATTGTGTCCAGTACATGATCTTTAAGGGTTAGTTCACCCAAAAATGAAAATTAGCCTGTGTTACTCACCGTCGAGGCATCCTAGGTGTATATGACTTCCTTCTTTCAGACGAATCCAGTCGGAGTTCTATAAAAAATTGTCCTGGTTATTCCAAGCTCTATCATTGCAGTCAGCGGGTGTTGCAGTTGAACAGTCCACACGTCGTCAAATAAAGCGAGCGCATTCATAATAAACGTGCCTCACTCGGCTCCGGGGGGGTGAATAAAGGCCTCCTGATTGCAAATCCTCGGTTTGTACTTCTAATTCATGACCGGCGTTTTGTTTTGTTCTCTCTCCGCGTTCGTCACAAACCACTCAATGCCGACATCCTACATCATCCGCCGGAACGGCTTCCGCGAATGACAGATAACGGAAGTGAGAAAAAAGTATTTATTACGTTTGAAATATGGATATTTTTCTTACAAAAACTCATGGATTCGCTACAGGAGGCCTTTATTCATCCCCCGGAGCCGTCTGCGGCACGTTTTATTATGAATGCGCAAGCTTTATTT